TATTATTATTATTATTGGAGAGGATGGGTTTCCCCATGCACCATGACTAATAGTCTATTGTACTTCCCCCTTTGATATTCTACCAGTCACCATACCCTACCGGTACTGGTGCGTACTATCAGCCCCATTCAGCCAACGAGGTTGGCTCTCAGTACCCAATACTTCCCCCATCTACCAGAGGCATTGGAAACTACTTGGGTGGGAAACTTTTTGCCTAATTTTGCTCAGAGGTCTCCTAGAGACATGAGGATCTTTTACGTGCCGTAAATCTACAACATGGGATCCACGGCTTAAAGTCCCTCCCGGAGGACTTGTTCCCTGAATTTTTCCGCCCTTAAAATTCCACAACTTTCGCCGGGTTTGAACCCGCATACCTTGAGTCATGAGGTGGGAACGTTACCCCTAGACTACGGAGGCCGCTTAAGGTGGGAAGATAATATTAAAATGGATCTTACATATGGTGTACTATGGACTGGATTGATCTGACTCAGGATAGGGATTGGTGGAAGGCTCTTGTGAACATGGTAGTGAACCTTCAGATTCCATAAAATGTTGGGAAATTATTGAGTAGCTGGGCAACTGACAGCTTCTCAAGAAGGGCTCAGCTCCATTTAGTTAGTCAGTCAGTTGGTTGGTTGGTTGGTTGGTTGGTTGGTTGGTTGGCTTTGGCTAATGTTATCCATTTCACAGTTAACCCAACTATTGCACTTAACTCATGAAGACCAGCTCCACTAGCATGCCATCATCCTAGGCTATAAAAGTAGTGCTCTCAAATGCGGTGTCAGTCATTTGGATGCCACTGGGTAGAGGGATAACAGCCAAGTGAAGTACAAACAGTATGTACAGAATCAAGACCCCATGGCAGTGTATTCATGTTTTTTCCCCTGCTGTAAATGTTGGAATTTTACAAATTCAGTTATCAGTGTGTGTGTGTGTGTGTGTATATATATGCATGTACATATTTATCTGCCTTATCTTTCAGATCATACATTTCATTCGACATCCTCCGAAGAGTGCTTTCAGATTACTTCGGATATGATGTGTTGTATGTCATGAATATCACAGACATTGATGACAAAATAATAAAACGAGCGAGACAGAATCATTTGTATGATGAGTATGTAGTAAAAGGGCACAGCCTCAAAAAGAATTTGGATGATGCTAAGAGTGTGTTGGAATTATTCAGTGAAACTGTAAAGAAGACCACGGATCCTGACAAGAAATGCATGTTGGAAAAGTTGTTGGTTAGGATGACAGGAGCTGTTGAAGAACTAGAGGTTGCTGTTAAGTCAAACAATGAAGATGAAACCAAAAAAGCTCAAGAGGTACAAACAGATCTTAAATATCTCAAAAGTAACTCAGTAACTAATGTACGTCTATTTGTGGCATAATTTTTATAATTTTTGCTCATAATGTTGTTAGTAGAAACTTGAGTGGAATATTTACATAAGAGAGAGGTCCTCACCACAGCCCCCTAAAACAGTACATAAATTTACATGATAATGAGTTACTCTGTATTTACAAATTCTATGCATCTGTTGTGTTGTTAGTTGTACTGTGGTACTTTTACAGGTTTTGTTGAAGGAATCAAAGGATCCATTGTCAGAGTGGCTGGATTTCAAGCATGGTGCAAAGGTTGCAGATAACTCCATTTTTGCCAAACTTCCTCAACACTGGGAAGCTAAATTTCATGAGGACATGGATGCACTTAATGTAAGAAGATTTGTCTTCTTATTCTTTTCTCTAGTCAGGTATATGGGGAAGAATTAGCCTTCATATTTATGTAGGAGATATTTTTGTGAAATAAGCATGAAATACGGGTATGTACGCAGTGTGCATGCATACATGTATATGTGTGTGCCATACGGGGCATGATTTGAATACGGTTCAGTTTGAATGAAAGAAAATGTGCCTGTTATACACATGAAAAATCTCCGTTTTGACTGCATAGATTATCATGAAATGAATGTTGAAGAAACGTGGCTGATATGAACAGTTATTGTTTGGTAGGCTACCTTATAGCCTTGCCGGTTTTGATTGAGCATTTAAATGTTGATTAGTCTTTGAGTAGGTACAAGTATGATATTGCAGGTTCTTCGACCCTCTGTTCTCACAAGGGTGAGTGAATACATCCCAGAAATCTTGGAATATATTGAAAGGATAATTGCAAATGGTCTAGCGTATGAATCAAGTGGATCTGTCTACTTCGACGTCTGTAAGTTTGACCATCAAGAAGGACACCACTACGCTAAACTAGTGCCTGAAGCTTATGGAGATGTAAAGTCTTTACAAGAAGGAGAAGGTGAGCAACTTCTTATGAGTAAGAAAAGTAAAGGTATAAGATATCCCTGTAACAGGCCATGGAGGCCCATAGGGTTGTGAGATGTTCAGGTAAAGTTAAAAAAAAAAGTAAAGCTATCCCTGTACCAGGCCATGAAGGCCCATAGGGTTGTGAGACCTTGAGGGTCCCACATTATCTAGACAATCAGCTCAAAGATGGCAGTAAGGTTGTCAGCCTCACGCGCCGGCCACGCTTTACTCCCCAGGAAAATTATTTAATTAATGCCTGCTACTCATTTCTGTTAGAGGCTGAGTCAACCCCAGGGCCATAGTGCGGCTGGAAGGATTAGATCAATTGAAAAAAATCCAATGACCTCATTGGGACTTGAACCTGCGACCTTCTGGCTTGTAGCATAGTGTCCCAACCAACAATGCTACCGCGTGCCGCCGAGATCTTGAGGTTCCCACATTTTCTACACAATCGGCTCGTAGATGGTGGCAAAGTTCTTACATGCCAGCTGCTCTTTGCCCCCAAGAATGTTCCTGGTACTCATTTCTGTTAGAGGCTGAGTCAACCCCAGGGCCATAGTGCAGCTGGAAGGATTAGGTCAATTGAAAAAATCCAGTGACCTCATCAGGACTTGAACCCGCGACCTTCCAGCTTGTAGCATAGCTCCTCAAACAACTATACAGTTCACTTTATTAATCATGGATTGGATTACTTAGCCTGTTAAGCTTCAAATATGATTCACAGAGTCTCATCTTGATTTTTAATATGTAACTATAGAATGTGTTACAGCTCATTGCATTTTAATATTTGTTAATATCTGTCTATGAAGGTGTTAAAACTGGTAACTCCATTGTGTTTGTAAAGCGTTCACATTTGTTTTTCCATTATGATGTTATTTAGTGCATGAGGTATTACCACGATGTGTTACGTTGTCAAGTGGCTCACGTTGTAACGTTTTTAACTTGTATTCAGGAGATACCTGGTTCAAATCTTAGCTGGGACACTTACTATCCTAAACTTTGCCATTGTTTACCTTAGTCTTAGCAAATATGATAGTACTGTCAGTTAAGCTATGAATGCTTTCTTTGTCATCTTATTCAATTTATATTCACTATCATCAATCACTGGACATTATAATCTGAACATTGACAGTGTTGTTAAATAAACTAGAAATAAACAAGGAATAAGAATTGTGATGTGAGAATTTTGCATCCTTCCCAAATGCTAGTCATGTTATTTTGTTCTTTTATTCGTATATTAGTATCAGCTGTTTTCAGTTCTTTATACTCGTATCTGCACTGTGCTTATTCTACCACTATAATCAAGAAACATATCTATGTTCTTTGTTTGATTTGTTTGCCTTTTGTCAAAGTCCAGCAGCATTCTGATCTCTGTTCATACAGTTTCCGTCCACAGAATACTCCCTCAGACAATATTTTTATTATTCCACATGCACTCGTATTTTTAACTGCATGTAATTTGATATTATCATCATCCTGTTTATGGAAACCTTACATTATAACCTAGATAACTGAAATTCGTTGTTTGTTTATTGATTACAGTTTTAGCTTATACAGAATGTATTCCTGCAAGAGCAAATATTTTTATCTCACTTCAAGATAATTTCAGTCAGATTTTTAGGTATTTCATTTAACTGGTACAGAGTGTTTTTTTTTTTNTTGGGGTAGAACTTTTGGATATGGTGTTAATCTTCATTGTCAGTATCTTTTTGATTACATGAGTAAACTCTGATTCTTAATTTGAGAGATATTCCTGTTTTAAAGTTGTAGCTCTAGTATTGTGATGTAGAAAACAACCATATCCCAGGAAAAGAATTGATGAATGGCAATAAACAAGGTTTGTTGGATGGTAGTAATGTTCCAGATTTCCATGATTTTGTTCATCCACAGAACTGTAGGAAGGTACTTAATGTGTATAGTTGATACATTGTCATTAGATAATGTATGAATATCAGAAGCTTGCACTGTGATAGTGCATGTCACCTCTTGTTTGTAGTGTTATAAGTGTTTTTCGAATCTTCCAACTGTGTAGTTGAATTCAAATGTAATGTTTCTTGTCTTATGGTTTTCCCACATTTTATGTTCAATTTGATAGTGTGAGGTCAAGTATCTTAGTGTAAATGTATATTCCATCTCCTAGGGAACAAAGGTGTGTCATAATTGGTGATGTAGATTGTTGCATCATCATTAAAATGTTAGCAGATTCTGTTTTCCATTTACTTCTGGTATTCAGTGTCACTGTGAAATTCAGACATACACATTGAGTTCTTCATAAGATTTCCTACACAAGATAGGATGTTCAGTGATGCATAGAGTATGGAGACTTTACCTTTTTGTATTGCTTCATTAGATTCGTACTCAAATCAGTTGCCTCGCAGAACCTTAAACGGGAATTTCCCTTTAAATATGAATTCTGAATGTTGTTTTCAGATTCATGAAAGTCAATTTACTTTTCAGGAGACCTTTGCATATCTGAAGATAGACTGAATGAAAAACGATCTCCAAATGACTTTGCTCTCTGGAAGAAGTCAAAGGCAGGTGAACCTTGGTGGGATTCGCCATGGGGTTGTGGGCGACCTGGTTGGCATATTGAGTGTTCTGTCATGGCTTCTGTTATATGTGGCAAGTCATTGGATATTCACACAGGTGGTGCTGACCTCAAGTTTCCACATCATGACAATGAACTGGCACAGGCTGAGGTAAGGTGTATCCTGGGGGGAGGTATTTTGGAGCGTTTTCACCAAATTAACATTCTGTTTCTGTAATTTCACTGTTGAATGTCTGAACATTTCAGAAGTCTTTCTCATATATGCTGAAGATAGTCTCTTTCTTAAAATGTTTAGACCAGCTTGTCAGAAACTTTAGTTACAAATTTTCCCCTGGTAACACACTGAGAACTGGTGTGGCCCTTTAATTAAGTACCCCAATTCATGGATATATTATGGGTAATTCAGTGTTTTACCCTTGAATATACTGATTTTACAAGTATAATACTTTCTTATTTTATATTCTGGATGACACTCTTTAACCCAGAATTGAACAGACTGCTTCCATTGGTTGGATTCTTTGTGATGTCCAAGACCTCACTATTCCATGCAGAAATTTCCTTATTTCCAAGTTGGTGTTTCTGTCTTTACTGTGTTTCTGTGATATTCAGTCCAGTGACCATTTACACTAGAGTCCAGCACACTAACCCATGAATTATGTTAAATATTTTTTTTATTTGGGGCATATGGTAGTGTAACTGGTTGAGGCACTATGCTACAAGCTGGAAGGTTGCGGGATTGAATTCTGATGAGGTGGATTTTTTTTAGTTTGCCTAATCCTTCCTGTCACACTGTGGCCCTGGGGTCAACTCAGCCTCTGACAGATATGAGTACCAGGGATGTTCTTGGGAGTAAAGGGCGGCTGGCGCTTAAGGCTGACAACCTTGCCTTCATCTGTGAGCTGATTATCTAGAAAATGTGGGAACCTCAACGTCTCACAACCCTATGGGTCTCCATGGCCTGTTACAAGGATACCTTTACTTTACTTTTACTTATGATTTTGTTATTGAATTATTAGTAATGCCTACATGAAAATGTGTGTGTGTCTACAGCTACCAGCCAAAGGACAGTTTCAAGCATTGTCCTGTGGTCATAGCATTTGCAAATTGGGCAAAAGCTGAAATATTCTTAGACACACTCATATTTTTGTAAAAGCCCAAATACTTGCAGTTAATATATGAACTGGCAAATTGTATTGCGCATTCATAATCCCAATTTAACTTTAATAAATGCAACTGAGATATGTAAAGTATGAACGCGTTACTTGTGACACCCCACACAATCAGTAAGCAGCTTCATCTGTTACTGCAGTCTGCAGTTAATGCTCATATGCAGGCCCATCAAGTGGTTAACCCTGTCTCTTCACAGTGAACTCCCAGTTCAGGGTCATCTTACCATTGCATTTTATTTTTATGTAAGGGGCATGAACTCACCTGACACATGTATAACATTAACAACTCAAGATTTGTGGGACTGGAAACTGAGAAGTAGGCAGGGTAGCTTTATAGCTTCTCACTGGAACTCCTTGTTTTGTTTGGTTGTCAGAAATACCATGATTAGTGTTATGTCTGAGTTATGCCTGACAGGTGCCACAACACTGGAACCAAGAATATGGCGGCTGTTGTTATATGTCAGTCACACCCTGTGATTACGAACAATAGTGTGAAGTGAAATATCTCTGGTTACCAGTATCGGTGCCCACCAGCAACATATGCCATTTATTCTTCTGCTGGAAGTTCACCATACTTTTGTATTGTTGGTGTTTTCATCTTTTCCCCAGTACATGTTTGTGCTTCTGTAGTAATAAAACATTTTGTGTGATTTGTTTCAGGCATACTTTGATAATGACAACTGGGTAAGGTACTTTCTTCATTCAGGTCACCTAACCATCTCAGGATGCAAAATGTCCAAGTCTCTAAAGAACTTTATTACCATCAAGGATGCTTTGACTCGTCACACAGCCCGCCAACTTCGACTTGCATTCCTTCTTCACTCTTGGAAAGACACACTTGACTACAGTGACAATACAATGGAGATGGCAGTGCAGTATGAGAAACTTCTTAATGTAAGTATTAAATTTGTAACAACTGAGAATAGCTAAATCAGTCTAGTTACTAGGCTGTGGACTGGATGACCGAGGAATTGTGGCTTATTCCCAGCAGGGAAGAGATTTGTTCTATCTTATCAGCAGTGTCAAGGCTGGCTCTGAGGTGCACCCAGTCTCCTATCTGTAGGTACCAGGGACTCTTTCCCCAGGGCTAAAAGGGCTGAGGTGTGAAGCTTACCACACACCTTCACTGCCCCATATTTCTTCATGGCATGGTTTTTAATGAAGTGTAGGGACAACTTTACTGCATAGCATAGCATAGCATAGCGTAGCATAGCATAACTTAGCATGTGTTTTTGTTTACCCCATAGACATCAAGAAAGAACATAGTATTTGAAGTTCTCACAGTGGTGGTTAGCAGATTTTTATTTTCAGTGATAGGACACCCATGTACGCAATTGAAAGTCAGCTGATATTTTCAGAGGAACATGTGACCCCTCATCTTCAGGGTCAAAGAATAAGCCAAGCAAGCTGAGTTTGCTACCCACAGTATGCTGGTTTCTTATTTGGCCTATTCTTTGACCCTGAAAATATAGGTGACATGTTCCTCTGAAACAGCAGATGACACAGCACCGTATGTCAGAGGACAGGAATAGTCATCATGAAAAAAATATGTATTAAAGTCCTCTAATTATTTCAAAGGTGACACTCTTCTAGACTTTAAGTTTCTGTGTGCAGTAAACAAGGTTTGCTGTGATGTGGTTCAGTTCATATGTATATACAGCCTTTATCATCTAGGAATAAGTGATATAAATGTCCTGTTAGTATGGCACTAGCAGCTGGATTTTATCTTGGCGGTAACATGATTTATATTGTAAACTGTGACACTAGGCCTATTGGAACATCTTTCATACTGACACTCTCATGGGTCATAGGGATAATAAAATTAAAGGGTCTTTAGCACCTTTTTTGTGTAAGCTATGTCTAATAAGAGAGTTAATATATCATTCTTGGATTACCCTTGTGTTCTTTGCAGGAGTTCTTCCTAACCGTGAAAGATATGGCAAGATGCACGTCAAGCAGAACACAAATAAATTCTTATAAGAAATGGGAGAAGGATGAACTGGAACTGAATAAAAGATTTATTGTGGCAAAAGACTCTGTGCATGCAGCACTATGTGGTAAGAATGGTCATCGCAGCTTTCATCCCACCTAAACCTTACCCCCTCACCAAGTGTTTATCAGACAGAAAGTTCTGAGAAGTACTAATCACATGCTTTCCTTTCACTACTTACTGAGTATTTTATATGACATGGGCTACATAGAAAACACTGTGTCCAACAGTTCTTATATTGTTGCATGTGTATTCGTTGCTGCAGGAATGTGTTTACCAAGTCCTTGCCTGGCAATGTCGGGAACAGATAGGGATGCACGCGTGTGCATGCATGCACACACACACGCACACATGCGAAGAGGATCTCATAAGTGCTTTTATTTTTTATATACTTTCCATATTTTGAAAAAGAAAAGAGGCTTATGAAATCACATTGCTCTCTGTGTGTTTGTATGTCTATATATCTCCCCCTACCTACCTACCACTTGGTACTACAGCCCTGGGTGAGACTTGGCCTCCTCTACAACCAGTCTCCACAACCAATGCATGCTGTCATAGGAATTGACCCAAAGCTGATTGTTAGGTTTCTGAACAAAATTATTTTTGCAGGATGAGGTTGTTAGCCTCATGCCCAACCCCCAACCTGGAGGACCAGGGTATCTGTCTTAGTCTGGACTCTACCCTTTGACCTTTCCAGCATGGGTGACCCTACTGGTTGTTAAACTACCACCGGTATAGCTCTCCAGGTCACAGAGTCACACAAGGCCCACCACCACGACAAGGTGGAGATACCTTTGAGGGGTATACCTCCCCCATCCACCCATAATTTTATTAATTTTGTACACTTCTTATTGTAGGATTCTGTATGTTGTTTGAAATTCACACAGGAGTGACTATGGATATTACTATCCTCTTGATAGTGATACCCTGTAGTGTGATAGATAGGGACTAGTGGTTTGGAGGAATTCTCTATCTCCATCTTCATGGTGGATGACTACTTTTCTGTTCTGAAGATAAAGGTGATAGGTCCCTACAAGCCAGTATGTACCTACCATTCTATGCACCATCACTTCCCTGAATACACTGCTGCAGTGGGAGCCTTGAATCTCAGATAGAATCCTGCTTTACAGTTTACATCACGTCTCAGTGTAATGTCAGGAATTATACTCTGAAACGTAGTATTTCCATATTTACACACCATAGTTTTCAAATGTTATTTTTTGATTAAAAATATGTAAATTATGCATGTAAACATTGTATCTCAAAGCACACACCTCACTTTTATTGTATAAATAACAAAATTGCTATTTAAGTTCACATTTATTAAAAAAAAAATTACATAACTTTCTCTTTCATTTGTGATGCAGATAACTTAACAGATTAACTTATACATTTTAACAAATTTCTTACAGACACGCAGTAAAAGTTTCAAAACAGGGTTGAATGAATATGTTCATCTTTCACAGGAGTGGAGAACCAACTTCTAACTTCCAATTATCTAAATATGTATACGGCCAAAGAATAAGTGGCTGGATGGTAAATATTTGTGGCATACCAGCTAACTTCTGACCTGAGCAGGAGAACCTAGCAATTGGTGACCAAAAAATCTAGAAAATATCTGATTGGCTAATATTTTACTGCTTGGTTCAAGTACATGAGATCAGAACACACATGCATATGCAACACAGAAGTGTGCATCAGCTCGTAAAGTGATACCAGTATTAATAAAGTTGGCTGGTCTTCATGTGTCAGGATCCAAAGAACTGCTAGTTGGAGCTAATGCACTCCCAGCAACTCTGTCGCTGGCTTGCTTATCCAGTGAGTTTTTGCAGTGTATCATGTCACATTGCTAGATTTGAGAGTTTGATATTTTTTTTAATGAATTTATCCCCTCAGTTTGCAGAATGGGTCCCTGCCCTTAATCTTCTTTATAGCGATTTGCAGTATTTCGTGGTGAAGAAAAAGTGGCAAGTGATCTTCAAACATCCAAAGAATTGCATATCTAGGGACAAAGGAGAACACAGTGTGCTTAAATTGCATTCTGAAAGAGAAATATTTTATTTTGTTACAGTGTGTTACTATCAGACCTTGGTTGACAATGATAATATGGGTGAAGCACGGGTAATTGATAAACCTCATGTATAAGAATGAAAGTGTTACGACAGAAACTGGGCATAGTAAATGCACAGAGATACTTCATAGCGGTGCTTCCAATCACTGGTACTTTTGTAACAACAGCCTATCAGAACTTTCCTTTGGAATGGTCCTTATAAACAGAAATAAATGGCATTATTAGATTCTGAAGGGTTCTTATAATGGCAACACTTGGGATTACTGGGTTTTTGAAACTTTGTCCATTGACTGGTTTTCTAAAGAACACGATGTTCTGAAAAATGATCCAGAGCAAGTCCAGTAATTGGGGTAAGCTCTCTCTAACACACCCAACAGAGTAGGTGTCTCCCACCTCCTCACCCAAGGACAGAGACAGATCCAGTTTCAAAAACATGTTCTTTAATGTTTTTAGAATACCAGACAATAGACAAAGTCCAAAAATGTATAATCCAAAGTAATATAACAGTCTCTTTTGATGATTTATGTTGCTATGCTAAACATTCTGGTTAATTTACGGCACAAAGTGTATACTAAAATGTGTTATCTTTAAAGATAAAAAAAAGTGTTCTTTTGAATGTTACAAATTTGTGACTTTTTCAATAATTTCAGATAATGTTGACACTCGAGGTGCTTTGGATGCAGTCAGAGATTTGATTGGAATCTGCAACATTTATATTCGAGATAAAAGGGCTTCCATAAAGGAGTGTAACTGCTTACTACTCCGAGATATAGCCGCTTACATCACATGGCTCTTAAAAGTATTTGGTGCTATCTCCACAGAAGAATACATTGGCTTCCCAATAACTGAATCTAAGGGTGCAACAAATGTAAGCATTGCCAGCATGTAAACATCCATAGATTTTGTTATTACCATATTTTCACATTAACTTCATTGGTTTGGAAGTTTTTGACAAGTTTATCCCCATAGAATCCTGTACATCTGTCTACAAATATAAACTTAGCATTTCTAAAGCAATCAGTTGTATCTTCCCTAAATTCTAAATGCTTATCCTATTTGTAAGATTTGAGCTTTTCACGGCAGTAACTGAAGAATGCTGTCTTCTGGGATGTGGTGTCGTGTAAATATTGTGTGAAGCAATGTTTCAGAGGAACATATCGTCTCCATCTTCACCTGCTGCAGATATTGCAATAAAGAATCCAAGCATTGTTTCAGATATAATCCCAAACTTCTTTTTTACTTATATTTTAATATCTATTAGAATCCTGCTAGCATGTTCTTTCCAGTTTCTTCTCTGTTGTTTTATAAACTATGCTGTTTGTGAGATTCTTACCTCTCATAATGTATTCATCCTGCATTCTTCATGAAACTCATTTCTGCTGATGTGGATTGTTGATGTATGTAATAACTCAATGAAGTGAATAAAATTGCTCACAGACTGAAGAATTGTTGATGCCCTACTTGTCAATCATGGCTGACTTCCGAGATAGTGTCCGCAGCCATGCTCGTCAGCTGAAAGCCACTGACATCTTGAGAATATGTGATAGATTACGCGATGACATTCTACCAAATGTCGGAGTCAGACTGGAGGACCAAGAAGGTAAGAAAACCCTCTCTGAATGTGCTTGTAAGTTACAGTGAAGCTGAATATAGCCTGTATGCCCCATAACTTTGCTTCAGCTATTTGTATATACACATACATGTACTTTATTTTGAAATGACTCTTATAAGCTACTTGTGCTAGTTATCTGTTGAGGGTGATTTCAGAATGCAAGTTCTGTGGCATTTGAAACAAGGAAAGACTCTTGATGTAAAGCAAGTGCACTTCAGTACTCATGTTCTGTGTGAAGTTGACAGTTACGCACTTTTGGAAACTGTGTCGTCGTTTATACAGTATTTGTGCAGTGACTAAATAAGTACATACATGAAATTTTAAGGTACATTTCAGACTCTGGTCGAGCAGGTAAAAGAAATGCATATTAAATTTTGCTTTTTGAACAAAGTAATCCTAGTCATCAAGAAGCCTATCATGTCTAACAGGTAGTTCTGTGGAGGGACATGGAAGCAGTCAGGATTAGAACTTCCAAGTCTCACATATTGAAGACTGTTCAATGATGTAATTTCTGATACCAGGTTGTGCTTCGGCAGTGAAGCTAATTGACCGGGAATCTTTGCTGCGTGAGAAAGAAGCGAAAAAGAGGGCAGAAGCAGAGAAGGCCGCAGAAAAGGAGCGTAAAAAGGCAGAACGAGCAGTGGCACTGGTTCAGCGTGACTCCCAGAGAAAAGTGAAACCATCAGAAATGTTTCTGTCAGAAACAGACAAGTATTCACAGTTTGATGATAAGGTATGGAACTTTATTTTAATGGGTTAATTAGAGGCTATGTGACACACTAGGGCACACAAATTACTATATTTTCTGAATCAGCTATGATATTTTTAACATGTGAACATATTAATAAAGTGTATAGCTTATCACACAAGCATAGATTTCTGATTGATTCCTGTGAGATGTGTAGACTTTACATTCATGTCTAGTATAAATTGCATAGTGCAGAAATGTGGCTATGGTGAACATGTCCTGACATGTTACTATTGTATTTACTTGCATAATTTATGCACCTGTACATCTAGACAAATTTTCAAGCAAATTTTAAAGACTGTATCTTTAACCACAAATTTTATCCTTTTTTTTTTTTTTTTTTAAATATGTATGAAAAAAACTGAATAATCACATAACTTCTAACTTTGTATGCTGCCAGCCACCTAATCTTTATAGGGTGATGCATGACTTAATACCTGATATCATTCCCAGTCAGAAATGTTATATCAGTATCGGTCTGATTCTCAACAGTTGTGGTGCAGTGATTGTTTGAAATTTGAGAATAATTTGGGTGTACATCACACTGATTTCATGTTGGCAGCACTGCATGTTAGAATGCTGAGTATCTATGGAATCTATGTCATATCCAACAAAACCATAATTAGAACATCCATCATTGCAATATTGCAGCTCTCTTACTTCTAATGCATATGTTCACTGGATTCTAATTTTGTGGATGACTTCTTTGTTTTTCTCCTGAGTTGTATTATGATGATTTTAATTTGTTTTATAGTTAGTTAAATTGTGTTATATTTTTAGGGTATTCCAACACATGATACTGAAGGAAAGGAGTTGAGTAAAGGTCAAATAAAGAAATTGCAGAAACTTCAGCAAAACCAAGAGAAGAAGTATAACGAATATATTCAGTCAACTGTGCTTAATGGAATTGGAGATTTGTGAACAGAAGTATTACCAAAATAAAATCAGAAAGTTTTGTGCTAATTTTTAAAAGGAACTCACATTCTTATGTGTTTGATTTGTATTGTTAAGAGCAAAATTGTGCTAACAGTCTGGTTTTACATGCAATGTACTATATTTGATCACATTGTAGTACTATGTTGTTGAGCATTAACTACGTCAGTTTCCATATTTAAGACTGGTATGACTGTATTTATATAAGAAATCTGTAAGAATGTGCAGATTGTACATAGTCTGAACTAGAACTTTTACTTACTGGCTGTGCAGTGGCTCTGGTCACTTGGTTGCAGATAAAAATTGCCTAGTATTCTGCCCTCATAAGAATCCAGTGTCTTGTTGGACAGTGTCATTTTTGTATGTTTGCACAGTGTGCAAGGAAGTAACTTCTGTAAGGATTGTTATGTCTGTTATGACATCCAGATGTTTCAACTCAAGAATGCTGGATGGAATTTAATGAATTTTGATATGAACATTATGCCATTGGAACCCATTCTAAATTTGTACTTTTTAATTTCCTGCAGTCGTTAGTAGCAACTTCACAGTTGTATGAACCTGTGATGTGAGGGTGGTACTAGCACAGCTACAGAAATACAGTAACCATGATGACCACGGAGAGCACATTAACCATAGAAAACGTGGAAATTGTGTTAATGTTGCTAACCGTAGTAATGACAGAAATCAGTATAGCCAATGTTAGAAATTTAAGAAATCCATAAATGCATAAGAGTGAATTCATAATGCCAAAATGCAAAGAATGTGCCTGGAAACCATGTGAGTTGCAATACAAGTTACACTTTTAAAATCTTGCCCGTTTGTTTCTTGTGACACATATCTGACTTTGCAATTAAAATCTTACGCCAATTCTTTTATGGTTCCAAAAATATCTGGTTAAACTTGTGTGTGACATCCATGTCAGCAGATCCTTCTTTGTCATATAATTTGACAAGTTACAGCCCTGAATAAGCTTGTACAGCCAATTCCTGCTTGCAATGAATGGCTTTGTGTCACTACTACTGCTTTGATTTGTGACTAGGAATCAGTGGGTGCTTGATTATCATCATCATCATCATCATCACCACCATCACTACAACCCTTTATGGGTCTTGGCTTGCTCTAGAAACATTCTCCAGCCATCCCATTCTTGTGCCTTTGTTTTCCAGTGTTTTTTGTTTTCCACACCCAAGTTCCTCAATTCCTTGTCCACACCATCCATCCATCCATCCATCTCATTCTTGGTCTTTCTTCCTTTTTCCTTTCCACTTTACAAGCATTATTCTTTCTATAATTTCTTCATTTTCTGTCCTTATAACATGTACTCATCTCAGTCTATTTATTTTAATTATGTCATTAAATACACTTCATAATTCTTTATTATAATGTCTTCACCAGACCCCATCAATTTTTACTGCTCTATATAGTCTCCTTGAGTAGCTGCAGAATTGGCGGCTTCTCCAGAAGGGCTCAGCTCCATGAATAAGTAAAAGTAAGTAAGTTGAGTGCCGGTCACAGGAGCCGAGCGGTCTAAGGCATGTACTATCTTCGCTCACTTGGAGACCAGGATCATGGGTTCGAATCCCACTCAGGGCATGGATGTTTAGTTTGTGTGTGTGCATTTTTCTGTGTTTGTGTACAGGTAGAGGCCTTGCGACGAACTGATCACCCGCCCAAGGAGTCCTACCAAATGTGTAAGATCTAGAAAAACCGAAGTGAACACAGAAGTTCATGGAGGTAGGCCAAGGCCCACTGGGGCTGTAGTGCCAAGGAAAAGGAAAAGGTAAGTTGAGTGGGAGAATTAACATGAGTGATGAATCAGGCAGGCCATGAAGATGAGGTCTGAATAAGGTACTTTCGCAGCATTTTCATGGAAGGGCTGAGGAAGTTCACAAGTTCCTGACTTAAGATTTTAACCCAAGATCTGTTGAAAATAAAGATGAATAAAAGATTTGAAAGGCCAGTGAGGGAAAATTAATACAATTTTCTAATCGTAAAATCTGTTACTGATTTATAGCTCTGGAACAACTTTAGACAGTTAAACCATGCCTTGATTTAAGTTTTCCCTTCATTTAACATAAGTGTTAGCTCCCAAGTCGATAATATCATTGTTAAATATTCTCCCTTTAATATACTCCCCGCTTAACTTCACTGTTACTCTGTTAACCTTCAATGATGATTTTACTGTAATAGGGGGGCTTCTTGTAATTGTCACTGAATTTGGATTACAGTTACTAACCCAAACATGAGTGTACTAACCTAAGGTTCTTCATTTACCTTTTCATTTGGGTCTTGTTTACAGTTTCTGGACCAAAGCCAAGTGAAACCTCCTTACTCAGGGCATTTGGTCACTACATTATAAAGTTATGCCAAAGCTGAACTTATATCCATCATACTTTGCTTACCGTAGTAGGGAAGGTTGAACAGTTTCTTTCACATGTTGGTAAGCTGCCCTTATGGCATCTGCTGCACTCTTCATATCCTGTAGCACAGCAGTTATCACCTCTTCTTGTTTAAAGCCTGGATGATATTTAATTTGTACAAATTTATATGCATCACTATGAAGAACAAACTACTAGCCCTTCATAGAAACCCCAATCATCATGAATTACCAAGATAGATAATATGCATTCCATAGATCCCTGTGTATTAGAATGTGAAAAATGTCAGTGTACAAATAAGGTCAGGTTACCAATGAGCTATGTATTAAAATGTTATAATAAAATAAGGAAAACATGGTCTGAGGAAAATTCAAGATAAAAAAAGACAGTAATATTAGAATGTAGAAATCATATATCTTTGAAAATTCCCAATGGAAGTTTAATAAATTTGGCTTTCAGTTATTTTATGATGCCTTCTCAGCTTCGCACATTATGCGGGTCTAATGGAAGGATGACTGAATATCAATTGAGAAGCAGTCGTGGCCTGTTTTAAGGTACTGTCACAGAATAGGAGATGCAGGTTGAACAAAATGATGAGAACATAGGACAAGATAGTTTGCATCTTGGACAAGAATCAAATGCAAGTCTCCAAAATACAAACCAGGAGTGTTAATAACTACACAGTAATGTTTAGTTTCAATGATACATATACAATATATGAGGGCCATTTTAAATCCTTTTGGGTTGTCAGTAAAGTTTGCTTAAACTATTCAAATTCTAGTCTGTTAATGCAAAAGAGCTGTATAATTCTTTTTGAATTTGAAGAATATTAAGGTAAGGTACAGGTAAAGCTCTTCCTGTAATGGGCTGTGAAGGCCCATAGGGTTGAGAGACATGCTGCGATATTCAGACAAGAAATATGAGAAGAAAAATTGGCTGCATCATACAGTGCATGTGAAACATGCTTCTGAAATTTTAAACAATGTTTAAGAGTAGTTTCAAGCTTTAAAAGAGTTAAGGTTAGGTGTTCATGTATTGAGTTGTCATGACAATGTCTTATTTTGTTTGTAGCATGGCGTAAATATATTGTATATTAAATTTGTTCCTTATTTACAGTATCTCCAAGAACTTAATTTGAAAACCCATAGGTTAAATATTAGCAGTATACATTATTGGGTTTAATATGCAAATGACTTATGTCAGAAATCGCTTTTAAATGCTTATTCTTATGGCGAAAGTAATTTCTTTTTATCCCCCCCCCCCAAAAATGTTTTAAAATGTATCTCAGAAGTGCACCGCTAGATGGCAGGCATGGCAGTGACGAACTCGAGAACTCGAGAAAGGATACAGGCTGATGAGGGTGCACACGCGCAGTTCCATTAACCAAAATATCTAGTGGTAGTAGTAAGAAATACGATCCAAGAATGTGGAATAGGTGTCGTTTTCTATTAGAATTTCAAGGGTAAGATAGAACATTTATCGTGTTTTAATATTTGTATTATGTCACCAGCTTGTTTGCTTTTGTTGTTTCTTGCCACGAACCTGTTGAAAGAATTTTCTAATGCAGTTTATTTTTTAACTCTTGCTTTCGATCACCTAGTTCACCAAATTTTGCTCATCAGTAAAATTAACCGCAAACTAATTCTTGTGTTCCACAGTTGGCGTAGTTAAAGTGAGTTCTTTCTACACCGAGAATATAGTTTTGTTGTTCTGACAATGCAGTTCATGTTTCTTTTGAATGCTTTGTTGATAAGGAATGTCATCTTCAACAAGTTTCGTTTGTAATGGTTACAACGGAAGTATGTATCACAAGACATAAAGCCTATACTGGATAATTACCTGGCATAGCGCAGTCGGTATAGTGCATCCCTTGCATTGCCCACTTAAAGATAACAGTCTTTGATATAGATCACTGGATAGAGGCAAGTATGAGGATAAATAATTGAATCTTCCTTGAGGGCTGTAAACCTACCTTTCTTTAACCTCCTCCTTCACAGAGTGGGTGGATAATTGACATTATTCCTGCCGAGCACATGTGGAGGAAAGTGGAAGATGCTGGTTTCATGTACTTTCACATCCAAAACATGAATCTGGATCACCATGAGAACAAATTTGGAGCTGTTTGTATCTACTTTGGTTACAACAAAATCCCAAATATGGGACAGTTTGTAGATGCCATGAAGACTAGCATCATCAATGGACTTTTTTTTAAGCGTGCAGGGAACCAACTGTGGGGATAATGGTGCTACTGTTCTGAATAACTTAAAATCGTTGATCAGGTCGCTTGATGCTTCTCAACCTAAGCCCGGCTGAGAAACTTTCTTCTGGCAGATATGAGCGAAGTGATACTAGTTAAACTCATTTAAAAAATGGAGTAAGAACCTCTGCAGTACACGAGATAACTGTATCGCAGTTATTCACTGTCGGTTTCTGAACTCGAGGTTCGAGGAGCCTATTACTACAGATGGCCGTGCCATAGCTCAGGCGGTTAGCCGCTGGCTTCCCACCGCAGCGGCCCTGGTTCGAGCCCTGATCGGGTCATGTGGGATTTGTGGTGGACAAAATGGCACTGGGGCAGGTTTTCCCCGAGTACTGCAGTTCTCCCTGCCAGTTTTCATTCCACCAATTACTCCACAATCGCCATCGTGTATCAACAAGGGCTGCTACAGTAGGCCAGTAGTGGCCGAAATACCAAGTGGGTTCAGCCTAACCCCACTAAGAAGAATGAAGATGAATGATGTAGGCTACTACAATGGCAGTTAACCTTCTTGCCGACTGAGCTCTCGGCAGTGGCTGCAACCATTCCCAGCAATGTCCTGATCGAGAGCAATAGATGGCAGTACAATGCATGCGACGTCACGGAGACTATGTTGCCAGCCAGCAACGTTCATTTTCACGTCTGTTCCTTTATGTACGAGTATCTATTGTACAGCGACTGACTACGGGTTGGAGCCAAGATTTTCTTCCTCTCCACGTAATGTAGACCGGTACTGGCGCTCACCCAGCCTTTACCGTTTTTACCCTAGTGTTAGGCCGCGCCATAGCTCAGGCGGTTAGTCGCTGGCTTCCCACCACGGCTGCTCTGATTCGATCCCGGGTCTGATTATGTGGAATTTGTGGTGGACAAAGTGGCGCTGGGGCAGGTTTTTCCGAGTACTTCGGTGTCCCCTGCCAATTTTGATTCCATCAGGTGCTTCATAATCACCATCACCTATTATCTGAGGCGGGTACAGCAGGCCAGTAGTGGCCGCAGTATCAAGTGGAGTCAGTCTCACCCCACTATGAATAATGAAAATAAGATGATAGAAATAATAATACCTTAGTGTTGCACTGCGTTTGTCGTGCTTGCAAATGAAAATAGAAGGGTTGCAGTCACACGAACGGATGATTTTATTACTTCACTCACATGTTGTATGTGTTTAATAATAATAATAAAAAAAACATTTGTTTGTGTAGCGGTAACCCCTCTCAAGGAGGATGAGATGGGCAGGGCATATAGCACGAATAAGGGAGAAGAGGAATGCATATAGGATTTTGGTGGTAAAGCCAGAAGGAAAGATACCACTGGGAAGACCAAGGCGTAGGTGGGTGGACAATATTAAAATGGATCTTAGAGAGACAGGATGGGATGGTATGGATTGTATTGCTCTGGCTCAGGATAGGGACTCGTGGAGGGCTCTTGTGAACACGGTAATGAACCTTCGAGTTCCATAAAATGCTGGGAAGTTCTTGAGTAGTTGCACAATTAGCGGCTACTCCAGAAGGGCTTAACTCCATGAATAAGTAAGTAAGCGGTAATCCCTACCAGGACATAAATGTTATCGGATTGTAAAATTTACATAAAGTTTACGTACATACATATTTTAAAGAGAATAACATGTCGTTAAACATTTAGCACATCTAAAATAATCCAAAGAGAAGAGCTGCCGACGGCGCTGCTATGTCATAAATAAAAATAAACATACAAGTATTTAAACAAAAGCCGCCACGAGTATAAACTGGGCATGTAGACCTGGCCCTTGGATTGTGCCAGAGGAGACGTATGGGAAGTAGCAGCGGGGCAGTGGTTGCATCAGAATTTTGGAAGGGTGACGCACTGTAACTGAGGACGTTATAATGCATACACACCCTACGATCCTGATCACAGCCAGCTGACTCGCCAAACCTACAGCGTATTCTATTGAAAACGGCTAGGTGTAAAAACACGAATTCTTGTATTACGCAAATAATTTCTTAGACTACTGTTTTCGGGATAATAGCTAATATTTCCTACAGTTTACTTCATGACTATGCCTATAGTATATGAAACGAGTCCTTTGTGATGATCTTCTTTCAATTATCCAATGTTTAGCCTTACTTACTTATGGAGCTGAGCCCTTCTTGAGGAGAAGCCAAATCTGCAGCTACTCAAGAATTTTCCAGAGTTTTATGGAACCCGAAGGTTCATTACGGTGTTCACAAGAGCCCTCCACTGGTCCCTATTTTGAGCCAGATCAATCCAATTCATACCACCCCATCCTATCTCTCTAAGATCCATTTTAATATTGTCCACCCATCTACGACTTGGTCTTCCCAGTGGTCTCCTTCCCTCTAGCTTTCCCACCAATATCCTATATGCATTCCCCTTCGCCCCCATTCGTGCTACATGCCCTACCCACCTCATCCTCTTTGACTTGATCATTCATTGGAGAAGAGCACAAGTCANAAGATTCTCCTAACACCCTGTTCTCAAACACCATCAGTCTATGTTCCTCCCTCAATGTCAGAGACCAAGTTTCACACCCATACAGAACCACAGGAAGAATTATAGTTACTTTGCTTATTTAAAATAAATAATAATAGGCTTATGTGATCATCTTGCTGTCTGTGTCGCCCCCACCCCAAACAACTTTTGAACACCTCAACCGATATTTATGAAACTTGGTATGTATACACGTATACTACCTGAGGCTATCTCAACGGCATACTTCATAAAGCAATACCAACATTGTAGTTTATCGAAGTGTTAAGGCAATGACCAGAATGTTAGTTGAATATCTGGAACCTGGAGTGTATCATGCCACCTGAGGCCATCTCAACGTTTATTTAATAAATTCCTTCCTTCCTTCCTTCCATAATACCAACATAGCAGCCTCTCAAATTGATAAGGTCATAATCTTTATATTCAATGATTTTGCCGATCGTAATGAAACTTGTTACGTGTATCGTGCCACCTGAGGCCATCTCGACGGCGTACATTTTTCCCGTCAGTAGTATCAAGAACGCAGCCTCTCAAATTGTTGAGATAACCCTGAACGCATAAGGGGTGGGTCATAATAATCCGGGTTTTGCACTGCAACCTTCAATGATCTATTGTGCTTCTGAGATAACTTTAACATTACTTCAAAACCAGAATGGCTCGTCATGTATATCATGCCACCTGACGCTATCTCAACGGTGCACTTCATAAATCCTTCTCTTCAGTAATATCAACATTGAAACCTCTCGAACTGTTGGGTTAATAATTTTTTTCCTTGGCACTACAGCCCCAGTCGGCCTAGACCTACCTCCATGAACTTCTCCATTCACTTCGGTTTTTCTAGATCTTGGACATACGGTAGGACTCCTTGGGCGGGTGATCAGCTCGTCGCAAGGCCTCTACCTGTACACAAACACAGAAAAACGCACACAAACATCCATGCCCTGCGTGGGATTCGAACCCACGATCCCGGCTTCTGAGGGAGCGAAGACAGTGCATGCCTTAGACCGCTCGGCCACCGTGACCGGCCCGGGTTATTAACTTTAGTATTACCTAAATGCCTGAGTCTGTCGTCATGAAACTTCGTTCTGGCAACTTTATAAATTTAAATTATATTTTATACGGGAAAATTTCGTTCTATAAAAGTCCAGTTTATGTTATTGCTTTATTGACTTCATTACGCTTATACTATAAAGGTTTTCTTTTTTTAGATTGTCGTATCGAATGCTGAAGTGGTATTGAAGGGAAAGTACGCTATTGATTCCTCCCAGAACTTCATGTTAACCTCTCAAATTTAAACAGACTTCAAGATATCAAAGCCGCATTACAAACAGCAAGATTATAATAGCTACTCTGAAGAGAACAACTGTAGGGAAGAACGGTCCTTACTATTGAAAACGGTTGCATCTTTCGTCATGGTAAGTCTTTATACTTGTAACATTCCAATTAATTATTGTTGTGAAAAGCATTGTAGGCCTACTTACGTTCTTCTTCTTCTTGGAGTAGAAACATGCCTCTAGACAACACAGAGAAGGACACCTTGACATCTTCCGCGTGAAGAAGAATATCTTGCTGTTCATTGCAAAGGGAAAGATGGTGGAAATATTTCGTTGGGAAAATGAAATGCCTGTTACAGATTTCCTTCAAGTTTTAATGACAATACAATTAAAGTGTAACAAAGTTATCGAGTTCATACCATTTACAAAATATTACTCTGATTACAAATTCACTTTCAATGGCTGACATTTTATATGCAAAAGATGAAACTCGAATGATTTCAAATCCATATTTTCTTGCCTTTATTCAGCACTGAGCAAAACATAGTGCATACTACGCTTTGAAATACACATACACTTTTATCTTTCAGTCTTCTTACAAAATGATGTCTGTTTGACACATGTATTTGGTTTTAAGCACAGTTACACAGTTATCTGCTGTGAATCAATTCAAATGATAATTCTCAGGAAAATTACAATTTTAATATGCCTGTGCCGTGCCAACGTTTCTGGAGTTCTTCTCATATGGAATATTTTTTAAATAGGGAATCGTGTAATAGTTTACTGCAACGTAAAATTAAGCACTGAGAAGTTCAGACGGTCTAGCAGCTTTGAATGAAACATAGCGTTCATAATGAGAATTTATAAATGATTTAATGTGCCAGTATATGTAGGATGTACCATTTCAGATGCAACACAAACAGTAGCATATACAAGTAAAAGCTTGAACTTGACATCAGCATAACAAGACAAATGAGTTATTTCTCGGTTTTTGTTTTCTATCGGCCTATTGTCTCTACAACTTCGTGGAGTGTGTGTATATATATGAATTATGTCACTGTCAACACAGCAAATAGTCAGTTATTATTTTCAATATTTATACTGCTACATGTTTCGGTCGCATAAGACCATAATCAGGCAGTGGAGTATACCACCTGCCGGACCTGTTCCCAGTGGTAAACGTTTGTCATGTCCCATTGTATAGTTTCTTCTAAGAGTACCAGTTTACAATGTTTCCTACATGGTTTTCAATGTACATTATGCGGAAACTAAAAATTAAACTTCTTCACGGAGGCAGAATACGTTACTGAAAGTTATTCCTGTTACTGAGATCCGCTCCATGGGGATGTAGCCTTTAGATTCAAAATTTAATGACTATTAGAAAAGCGGGAAGCCGTGCTCATTATTTGGAATAACTTTGTTAACTTACGAACAAACGCGTATCCAAAATATACACAACTGGACTGAAGGGAACTGAATTTTGTTTTCCTGCAAATTAAATCACTCCGTCCAATGTGACCTGTAAGTTTTTTACTACATGAAAACTTAACACCCTTACGTGTTTCGGTCTCAGTGGACCATCTTCAGAGGGCAAACATCACTACAAATAGGAAACCACCTTCACATACTCGTAAGTTGTTTAGACGTGAAGTACGTACACTATATGCTGCAATACATAGTACAGAAAACAGAACATTTCACAAACACAGCAGTTTCCTGGCAATGTAGAGTGAAAACAGCACAGCAGCCACGAGCAAACCCTGGACGATATAAAGAACCTCCACATCAAGATAGCCAGGTGGCACAATATCTGCCCCATATAAGAGGGACGATGGGAGGACGAACGCGAGCCTGCATGGTTTACAAATTTTAATTATTGACAATCCAAAAAAAATGTTTAATTAGCATCAAGAAATTTTATACAATTTTATAAAAAACTTTACATTCCCAGGAAACTGCTGTGTTTGTGAAATGTTCTATTTTGTGTACTATGCACTGTAGCATATGAGTGTACTTACTTTACGTTTAAACAACTTATGTGAAGGTGGTTTCCTATTTGTAGTGATGTTTGCCCTCTGAAGATGGTCCGCAGAGACCGAAACATGTAAGGGTGTTAAGTTTTCATGTAGTAAAAAACTTACAGGTCACATTGGACGGAGTGATTTATATTTGTAATTGTTAGTGTGACGGACCAGAATCAAACAAATCAAACTTTGTTTTCCTGCATAAAGCACACCAGCCATTCACAGTTACCGCAGTACGGCATTGTCATATAATGAAGTTTCTGTATATAACTAACCTTTGCACCACAAAAGCCTGCTGTTATGTGTTATGTGCGTAATGGAATAATATAACTGAATGAACTAAAACTCTGATTAACAGACAATAATATTAAGTAACGCCCTACATCATGCCAAGGAGGGAACGAATATAATAAAATGTTTCGAAATCCGTTAGAGGAGCAACCTGAATGTCTTGCGTGTTGAATGACTTGCCTATCGTGCAATGCATAATTTTGTTGCAGTGTATGAAGTCTCGTTAATCTCAATGTAAAGGAATATAAACTCCTAGCAATTATGCTCTTACTATCCGTCACCGTTGGCACTGCGATTGGCTGCTGTTCCAATCTGAAGTTAAACATTGTACCTGCTCACGGTGAATTATATAAAATACCCTGTAATTTGTTATTGTATATCATACTAAACAGTACAATAATTGATTGTTTATAGTGGATGGAACTGTGTGAAACTGTGGTAATGATATGAATTGGACATTATTAACAAGTAATATAACTTGTATTAACAATAGCTATGGATTATTGTAGGCCGTGATTGGTTTAATCAATGCAGCTTTGTTAAGTCTGTCTATAAAATATGACATTTAAATAATTCTGTTGAGCTTTAAAATAGCTTACGCTCTTGTTGAAGTGGCACATGCCACCAAATTATCATTTATATTAATATAAAATAAATTGTGGTCCAGGCACATATGTTGTTTCATACACCTAGAGTTATTAGGTCAGTAAATTGAGCATATGGAATTATGATTTCTTGTGTTATGGAATGACTTAATCTACACAAACTTACATACATACACACACACATACATACATACACACATACATATATATATATGCCTCACAATAATTAAACTGGAATTAGGAACAACTTAGTGGCAGGTTTTGCGTGTTCTGTAACATTTAGGAACATCTGTGTGTGTACGTGTTTAACAATGATGAAGTAGGAACAGTTGTCGAACATTCAGTTAGCAGCACGGTTACAAAAGTTGTAATAAGATATGACTGTAGGAAATATGCATATCTTCTTACGAAGATCTCAGATAACAGTAACTCACAAACTGTGCAGAAATGTTCAACAACACAGAATAACAGTTTCAAGGAAGGCTATGAACTTCACTGACTACATGAATAGAAAATTGCTATTTCGTACCAAAAATACTGTCTACCTCACGGTCTAAAACATTTTGTCCATTCATCGGAACGTGTTTCCATATTGTTTTGCCTGTAAAAGTGAACCCCCCCCCCCCCTTTCCTGTTAAACACTTTTCTATATAAATTGTTTACAAAATATGGAAACTGCTTAGATTCCTTATTTTATACAAAATGAGATTTATCACTTAGACACATGGAATATAAACCTTTGGCTACACGGACATAGAATTGCATCCATTGATTTTATTTACATATTAAGATAATTCCAATACTCCATAGCACAGTCGAAGCATTTTCACACATGCATTCTGTAGAAGGTTGCGAGCATAGATGAGACTCAAGACAAAACTTAGGTGCCTACATCCTTTTATTTATATTTACATTTAAGAAGTCATGTTTTGCAAGCATGTGTTACTCTCATGATATTATATGACATTTAATCAAGGTTTTATCTTGCCCAGCGTTTATATCGTTACAAAATAACAGCTAAATGCTTGGTTGATTATGTTGAAACATCATTAACTCTTACACAACACCATTAAATTCTCTATTTAATAAAGAGACGACCCGTTTCATGGCAAATTCTACATTCCATGAGCTTCCTCACATCAGCACGTTAGAAACTCCTACCTGTCAGCAAGTACCATTTCAAAGAAATGAGTTTCAGTAAATCAACCAAGCCACTACTCATATGTTTAATATTCCAAACTCAAAATGTGGAAAATAAACTCACTATTATACTTACAGGAGTCGTAATAACGTGTATCTACATGGTAAACTAAATCCGTATTCCCAAAAATTAACCATATTGAGAAACAAAACAATCACACCATGACAAATTGAAGTGTACATAGTTGAAATAATATCTGGTTCCTCTGTGATATAACCACCAACGGACTTAAACCTATATTTAATATAATAAAATAACTTGCAGAGTTTTATTTTGTGACTCGCCACACTTTTGATTCACCGGTGAAAATTAAAATACTCGCTTATTTACAACAACAAAATTAAATGTAAATAGGTGGAAAAAAAATACCAATATGCAGTACGAACTTTGCTTATATTACGGTACTATTTACACATATCGTAACTGGATAAATTTAAGTTATATGAGATGTTCCTGATACCTGAATACTGGAACTCACTGATTTACGCTTAATTGCTTAATTCTTTACCATTGCTTTAATTACAAATTTGCAAATATGGATGTAATTTTTGTTATGTGACGTCAGTAGCATATTGTACACTTTTTCCAACCTTATTAAATTAAATAATAGAAAAAGATGATGGATTCCAACTGTAGCCATACAGATACCCAGGCTTATCCCATGTGGCAACTAATAACCTTACCTCACAGCCATGGGGGATGAGCAGGAATCCACCATATTTATTTTTAAGCAGTCTGAAAAAAATCATGGATTTTTGTGAACAAATTTTGTATATCCATGATATGTATATAGTTGCCGTCTTGTAGTGCACTCAATTGCAATTGCAATGAAATAGATTAGCATAATTAGGGAACCTGATGATGGCACTATGTTGCGGAAACATGTCGTGAAGTAACAGGTGAAATTGAGTGCACTACAAGACGGCAACTGTATACATATCATGGATGAAAATCGTGCAACAGGACGCTAAAATACAACAAAATTATTTATAATTGTGAAATTCTGATAAATTTGACTCAGTTTGTAATTTCGATTTGTCTAGTACGTGAGGGGTGGGGCTAACTGCTGGCCCTTGCATCACGACCTTCAATGATCTATTGTGCTCGATTTGTCCAAATGTGGGTCGCATATTTATGTAACAGTTCACACCACCAATTATTTTCCTACAATGATGTATTCGCTTGTATACATTAGTATGTTACCTAGTTTGTATATAAGTACGAGTATACCCAACAACACACATATTTGCCGACTTAAATTGATGAGAAGAAAATAAGAATCAGTCACGTGTTCTTGATTTTTTTTTCTGAATGGGAAATACCTTTCTACAGAATTGCCTTCTGCAAGGCAAATGCAAGGCTGCTAAATATTTCTAGATTTATCGAAGTAGTAACAACCCGAAATTCAAAATGAGTTGCAAAACTCTGTGCTGAGTAACCACAAGAGAAGGGCCTCGCCATAGCTCAAGCGGTTAGTCGCTGACTTGCCACTGCGGCGGCCCGGGTTGGATCCCGGGTCTGGTCAAATGGGATTTGTGGTGGAGAAAGTGGCGCTTGGGCAGGTTTTCTCCGAGTACTTCGGTTTCTCCTGCCAATCTTCATTCCACCAATTGCTCCACAATCACCCTCACCTATCATCTGGGGTTGGTACAATAGGCCAGAAGTGGCCGCAGTACAAGGGACTTAGTCCCACCCCACTAGCAATAAAAAAAAACCACAAGAGAAATTTAATAAATTCTAAAGTATTCTGGTAATGGTATATTACACTTAATATCTTAATACCGGGTTTCCGGATGTTTCCATTGTCTGGTATTGCGCACAGCAATTCCCTAAAGCATCTGTTGTTCTTCTCTTTCTTAAATCTCAACATGCCACGACACTGTGAGCTACATTTATTACAGAATTATTCAGTAAATATGTGACTAAACAAGGTACACAATGATAACCTGAGAATATAGAGCTAAAGTAATCGGTTAATACTTTTTATACAGTATGCAAGAGTACAACTCAGTCACGTGGCACAACAATGTTTCATATCCTAGTTCTCTAAAGGCAAACAAATTATTTACCTTTTATTTCCAACCGTACAACACTGAAGTCATATACACTCAACGACAATATGATTTCATTAAATAAAAGAAAACAACACGCTCAGCATATATTGTATATTTGTTTACACAGAATTGCGCAGAATTGGAACTTAGTACCGTGTATTTTGTTATTGTGTATCTCTGCAATTTAGCAAACCTGAACAGCCATCCGCAGGGCATTAGCGGTGGATTAAAAATGGAAGGTTAACGAGTTTTGCAAGTGGAGAAAGCTTACATCCATTGGGCAAGACATATGTGCATGTATAAATTGCTAAATGAGCATTTTGTGATTTTATTGTAATTTTCTTTTTTCCGTGTATCTCTGTATTAT